GAAAAAGGAGCATATAAGAGTAGACCAACACGGTTGCAAGCCCAGGTACAAAAAGAAAAGAACAAAGAAAATAAAGTATTTACACTCTTCTAACGGAAATTAAGTCAATATAGGGTGATTTTAAGCGAAATACCCATGATGATCTAGTGATCTCTAATCTCAGGAAAAAAAGAGGCAGAATTGTCAAAGGCTCTGCTACTTTTTCCTTTCTAGTAACCCAAAAAGTATAAAGTGGAATGATGATACATCAAAAAAAGAAAAGTGGAATGACGAAAATTATCTTCTTTTGTTGTACAAGTGGTAATCCGCTCCATGACTAAAGCTCTTCCTTGATATATCCACAAATTATCTAGTTAAGGTGTAGAATTGACAGATTTGAATCCCATAATCTTCTAGTCTCATGAAACAAAAGAAGAAGATGATTAGGAGATTCCATGTCTTTTGTGCAGAAGAAACATCTACTTATTCGTGTTCTCCCTTTTTTCACCAAATTGATTAGCCTGGTGGGAAGAATGCATGACTTGACTGCAAAATGATCAGTAAAAGATTGAGGCATGTAGTGGTTTGATGGTTGGGGAAACGCAACATGCTTCCATATGTATTAGACAATTTTTTTATGCTTGTCTGATAGCAAACAAAGTGGTGGAGACACGATCATGAAAAGTGGTGATCTGCCTCTTTTCATCAAATTGATTAGCCTGGTGGGAGACATCGATACACAGAAGAAGCTGGGCGACCACCAAAGTTCCTTTTCTTTGACCTTAACACCTAAAGGAATTCCATTATATGTAATAGGAAAATAAGCTTATTTACACCTGGGGGAATTTTAGCAAAGTTTTTGCTCTTGTCCTCTATTCCCAGGGGAATAGATTTAGATTTTCCTCAATTAACTTCAGAAACTTCTAGGAAACAGAGGAATATACCTTTTAAAGTTCAATAATACTTCTTTATCTGGCTTGAAATAAAGAAGAGTCATCTATGAACATCAAATGAGATACTTTCATACAATCCCTTCCCAACCAACAAAGAGGACCACAAAAATATCCACTTCCCTCACTTTGATAATAATACAGTTGAAAGTTTCCAGACTTAAAGTAAACAGCAAAGGGAATGAAGGCTCCTCTTGTCCTAATTTTCTAGAAGAAGTGCAGAACTCCAACATGCCACCATTAACGAGCACACAATAAATGCAGCAGTCACAGCTTGCTGTCCATGCTCTGCATTCTCACTAAATTCCATTCTCTCCATGAGAAATGAAAGAAAAGACGACAAAACATGGTTATAAGCTTTCTCAATCTCAAGCTTGTAGAGCATACCAGATTCACCATTTTTCAAGACACTGTCCGCCACTTTGTTTGCCATAAGAGAAGTATCAAGAATTTGTGCACCACCAGACTAATCAACCTGAAGCCATGCACATCCGTAACACTCTCAAATTGTAGGGAACTAAGACCAATAAAGTTGTATCCGAACTCCTAGGAGATTTACCTATCAAGAAGAATTCCCAAAATAGTTCAATAATCTCACTTCTATTACACCCCAAAATGCTTCAAGAAGCCAATAAAAGCTGCTTAGGGTATTTGTCACCATTACATGATGATAATACCTCCAGGACTTCCTTCTTAATGCAAGGGATTTCCTGTATTTTTTGTCTGTAGCATTTAGGCAAACTCAACCAAACCCTCCTAGATTTGGCCGCCATTGCTTAGGATTACAATAACAGTCTTGGTAAAGACATTGGTAAAAGTATTTAATAGTAGCCTATATCATATTTTAGCTGTCATCAAACTACCCTCTACCAACTTCACAATGAAGATATTTCTAAGACGAGCAAAAGCCATTTTGTGAAACATCTTAAGTAATCATGTCTGGTAAATTATTTTTGATAACATAGTATTGTGATGTCCAAGATATTTGTATTTGGTAAGAATATATTTAACGTATGATGGAAATTAAATTAATATATAATTGTATTTTATTGTTTTCAGAAGTTGAAATATATTTTTGTATAATATTATTCCACATCAGTATTTTGGAAAGATTATACGTATTTATTGAGCAACTAAAACATTAATGATTTTACTTCGTTGTAAGCAAATTTTGTGAAAAATTATAAGTTGAAAGCAACCATGTAGTTGCTTTCCAAGTAGTCAAATTTCTTTCCAATTGAAAAATTTTGAAAAAAGAAACTAAGAAATACATCACCGAATATTTGCTTCAAAAAAGCAACTCAAGAAATACAACAAACAAGGCCTAAAATTGATACTTGTGCAGAGTCCAAAAGTCAAAGTTGAAGCTAGTTGATCGATTCTCTGTATTTAAATATAAATGTAGTAAATGCAAACTAGGAGCATAGATCCATATCATTTATATGGTACTTCTAGGAATTGCAGATGAGTTTTTTACCACTTGCTTTTTCCTTTTGGTATGCCGATGTTTACACTTGCAGGCTGCTAATATGCTCATGCTTACAGTCTTATGCTTTGTCCTTAACACATTCTTTATAATGTCAGGATTTTGAATGATAACTTACTCGAAGGAAGGGTACCTGAGAAACTTTATTCAGTTGGTGTTCACGGTGGAGCTATTGAGTAAATTTTTTCTGACTTTAATAGTTCTACCGTTTATTCGTTATGCTCATTATGAAAATTTTTCTATATGGTCTATTTTTTCCAGTTGCATTGACTTTATGCTGTGATTAGTGGAAAAATGAAGTTTCTGTTTAAGGCTTTATTTTGAAAAGTGGAACGAGCCATCACTGACATTTATCTATATCCAAGTAAAAAGAGTCTGTGCTGATAAACGCCTCTTGAACATGAATTTGTCCACATTATTCTGCATTATGCTCCTTAAAATAACTATCTTTGAATTCCGATTCTGATTAAGAGCTGCCATTTCTTCTGAAAGCTTAACCTTAGCAATTCCTGGATATTGTAGCCATCTGTGCATTAGGTATTAAGAGCATCGAAATTGTGAAATAATTCATTATGGTACAATTACTCTAAAGTTTAAGATGATAGGAAAGCAGCTCAATTTATTATTTAATTTAGTTACTCTCAAGAACCTAGTAAGTACCTAATTTTTTATCTTACCAAATACAGAGATTAAAACAAAGTGCATGAAACTGCATATAAGAAAAAAATGAGCAATCCTAAACACCATCTAAGTTATTTTTCATCCATGCAATCTGATCTGGAACATCATGAATTTATCTTCTTATGTCCTATTTTTTTACAGTTTCAAGTCTCAAGAGTTAGTTTCTGCTATCTTAAAAAAGAAATCATTTGATCAAACTTTGTAAGCTGTTTCAAATTGACAACTACTTGTAAGAGAGCTGGTTTCAAACAATTACTTGTTTATTAGGTCCTTTTTTTTGTTTTAACCTGTTCTCTACTGTTTGTTCACTTTCTCTTCCAATTATAAGGCAGGATCAGAGAATAGACATGCAAACATCATCTGAATTTTGTATAGGCATCTTACCTTGTAGATAACGGACATCTGTGGTTCCTTTAATTTTAACCATCACTTAGTTCCAACCAACAGGCAATAACACAACAGTTACCTCGGTTCTCCTTCATGTTAGAGAGTCAGTTCTATTCTTACCTTTTGCTGGTTCTTCATATGTTGCATTCTATTAAAAAAGCATCACTTTGTTCCCAAAGTGATCTCAAACTAGAAATTTAAGGATTGACTAGCACTTACCAAAAGTTGTTGATGCCAAACTTGTTTCCTTTTCCCATTAGGATTTCTTCTTGCTTCTAGTGTTATAACCCATGAAGTTAGATGGTTTCCTTCACAGCCAAGTTTTCAAATAAGTGAGGGTTTTTTCTTTAAGGATATGATAAGGCAGAGGGGAAAAAAAGATAAGAAAAAGTCTGCCTTTTCAAATAAAGTGTCATCCAATTTTTGAATCTCTCATCCTTATCTGATTAGTTATGGATTTGGGTATTGGGTTAACCCATTATGGGTCCCATGAGGCAGACTTCCATGTTGGGATCCTCTTGCCATGGTCTTAATTACTTGCCTTTGCCTATCATAGATTATTCATCCATAAAGCTTGCTTCCAGTTTGCTTTATCCACGGTTCCCTGACAGTCAAAACGTCACAATTTAGATGTCTGTGCTCATATCTTTGAAGCTCGTATTTTCTTAAAAGGTTTAGGTGAATAACCTGCCCCATTTTTTGAATAAACCTTAAGAATATGATATAAAACAATAAGTTGGGATTTTTTTTCTGAAATTTAAGCTTTTAGGACAATCTACCATCCTACTGTTTTAATGAGTTTGGAGCCAATGTTCATAGACTCAAATCTTGAGAATCTTCTTCTCCTTAGAACTGTACAAAACTTTTTTTTTTACTGCACTCCTATTAATTACTATGGGGCTTTTGTAACTTGTTTGTGTTTGAGTTCACGTATGAAGTGTAAAATCACTTTTGAATGTAAGATGACTTAATGAGTATGGATTTAACTTTGGAGATAATTGGTCATCCAGTCCAACTAGTTTTACTCAAGCAGTATAACGGAACTCTCTTTCCTTGTCCACACACATGAACCTAGATGTAATATAGATGAAGAAATGGAAAGCTTTAAGCAGTTTTTGTCCAGAGACCAGACATATTACAGAATTCAACAGGCTATCAAAATTGACAACTTCATTTTGTAGAAAATATAATAATTAGAAGAATAAATTAGGATTAAAAATGGTTATTTACAACTGTTATGTGCTGTAAATGGAGGGAATCACCAACAAATTTGTTACAACAAATTTATCCTTAGAAACAGAATTTTGTTAGGTTTCCCTCCAGAATTTGTTAAGTTAGAGTAGTAGACTTGTATATATATGTGTGGAAATCATTCATAAAAAAAGAAGAATATTTTCTCTCAATTTTCTTCATGGTATCAGAGCAATACTTGATCCAAAAAGAAATTGATATCAAACCCTGCTGAGCCGTAATAATAAATGGTCTCGGGTGAGCTTCCATCCTCTCCACCAGAAGTTTCCTCTGGTTCTTCTCATCACACAGCAACAACCAGAGCTGTGAGTGAACTACCATCATCCTGTATCACAGGACATAAACTCGATGGCAGCAACTTTCTTCAATGGTCGTCGTCTGTCCGTCTCTTCATCCGCGGAAGGGGGCGTTATGGGCACCTCAGTGGCGAGCTCATGCCTCCTCCAGCGTCCAATGCAAATGCACAAATCTGGGAGATCGAAGACAGTATGGTCATGTCCTAGCTCATTACCTCAATGACTCCTGAAATCGGAGAGAATTTCCTTCTCTACAAAACTGCTCATGAAATCTGGAAGGCAGCACAGGAATTCTACTCCAACAAGTAAAATACCTCAGTAATATTCGAAATCGAGTCAACTCTTCATGACACTCGACAAGGAGAATTCAGTGTCACCCAATATTACAGTATCCTTAGTCGAAATTGGCAGCAGATGGACGCCTTCGAAGAGCGTCATTGGAACTTCCCAAGGACGCGAAAAACTTCAAAGTCTTTGTGGAAGAAAAACGAGTCTTCAAATTCCTGCTAGGGCTAAACAAAAATCTCGACGCGATTCGGGGACGTATTCTGAGCACCAAACCCATGCTGAGTCTTCGAGAAGTTTTTTCTGAGGCTCGACGCGAGGAGAGTCGTCGGAAGATCATGATGGGAGAGAATGACCAACCTCACCAGACTGAAAATTCTTCAGCTCTCACAACCCGAACGATTGACAGTCGAACGAAGAAGACAAGGCCCTGGTGCGACCACTGTCGGAAGCTAGGGCACACTCGGGAACGTTGCTGGAAGCTTCACGGCAAGCCAAGTGACTGGAAACCACCTTCGAGTGAGTGAAAAATGTCAAAAGCAGAGACCTTCAGCAAGCTTCGAGGAAATCACGTGACGACTGAGGAAGTAATTTTTGATGAGATGGAAAAAGACCCATTTACTCCTGAATAGTTGGAAGCCCTCAAACAAATCTTGTCCAAGAAATCTCACCCGGTCATTGCCTCTGTGGCATACAAAGGTAATATTCATGGTTTATCTGCTCTTTTAGAAAAAGGACAAGTGTGGGTGGTAGACTCTGGAGCATCTGATCATATGAGTGGCGATTTCTCAATGTTCCAAAATTACAGAAGATGTGAAGAAAATATTTCGATCAGAATTGCAGATGGTTCTCTCTCAAAAGTGGCAGGAATGGACTCTGTAAGTTTGTCTCCAAATTTGACTCTCTGTTCAGTTTTCCATATTCCAAATTTGGATTGTAATTTGTTGTCTGTCAGCAAGCTATGTGAAGATTTGAAATGTGCTGCGAAATTTGTCTTTAATATGTGTAATTTTCAGGATTTGGACTCGGGGAGGATGATTGGTAGTGCTAGGATGAGCTCGGGATTATATTTGTTTCAAGTCAACACCTCTAAAAGACAAGCTCACAATGCAGTATGTGAAAACTCTGTTCCTATTTCCAAAAATAATGATCATGATATTATGTTGTGGCACTATAGATTAGGACATCCAAACTTCATGTACTTAAAAAGGATATTTCCACTACTATTTAAAGGAAAAGATTCAGTTTCATTACAGTGTAAAGTTTGCCAATTTTCTAAACATACTCGAAGTTCATTCCATACTCTACCATATAAACCATCTAAACCATTTGCATTAATTCACAGTGATGTTTGGGGCCCTTCCAGGGTTTCCAACGTTTCCGGAACTAGGTGGTGTATATCTTTTATTGATGACCATACAAGAATTACTTGGGTATTCCTTATGAAGGAAAAATCTGAAGTGGGATCCCTATTTAAAAAATTTCATACAATGATTCGAACCCAATTTCATACTACCATCCAAGTATTGAAATCCGACAATGCTTGTGAATATTTTGAAAATACTCTTGAAAAATACTTTACTGAACATGGCATTATTCATCAAACCTCCTGCGTTCATACTCCACAGCAAAACGGCATATAGCCGAAAGAAAAAACAGACATATTCTTGAGGTCGCTAGATCTCTCATGTTCACCACACATATGCCAAAATATCTTTGGGGAGAGGTTGTCCTTACAGATACCTATTTGATTAATTGGATGCTCTCCCGTATTCTACAGTTTCAATCATCATACACTATCCTCTCAAAAATCTTTCCTGATTCTCACATCTTAAACACTTTGCCACTTAAAGTGTTTGGGTGTTTAGCATATGTCCACATTCATAAACATCTTCGTAGAAAATTAGATCCAAGAGCAATAAAGTGTATGTTTGTTGGGTACTCAGCAAATAAAAAAGGATACAAATGTCTAGTTCCGAAAACCCGCCGATTTTATAATACCATAGACGTCATCTTTTTTGAAAATCAACTATTTTATCCCACCACTGATATTTAGGGGGAGACATTCACTCAGGAATATCAATTGTGGGATGTGTGTGTACCACCTCTCTACCCACAAAATCCATCATCAAGACAAACCTTACTTGGAGATTGAACCCGAAACCTCACAAAAGAAATCAGAACCAAAACCTATTATAGAAAGCACATTACTTGCAACGAGTGAGTTACGTGTCTATACAATAAGAAACAAAGAAAAAGCACCCGAATCATCCAAGCACTGCAATGAATTCCCCACTGATCCAGGTAACGTAATCTCTGTACTAACTCTTGATTCCGTTGATTCTGATATTCCTATTGCTTTGAGGAATGACACTCGAACATACACCAAATATCCTATACAGGACTATGTTTCATTGGACAAATTATTCTCGGAACATCATGCTTTTGTGAGCAGGATAGACAGCAGTTCACCTGAACCCAGAACAATACATGAGGCCTTGAAAATTCCAGAATGGATGTTAGCTGTCCTAGATGAGATCAGGGCACTTGAAAAGAATGAGACATGGGAACTGATTGATCTTCCTCCAGGAAAACGTCAAGTGGGATGCAAATGAGTTTTTACAACTAAATATAATCCAGATGGGAGTGTGAACAGGCTTAAGGCCCGCCTGGTAGCCAAAGGCTATACACAATCATATGTATAGATTATCAGGAGACGTTTGCACCAGTTGCCAAGCACAATACTATTCGGGTACTCCTCTCACTTGCATCTAATCTTGACTGGCCACTGTATCTACTAGATGTAAAGAATGCATTCCTTAATGGCGATTTGGAAGAAGAAGTGTATATGAATATACCATCAGGGTTCGAATTAACTGACAACTCTCAGAAAGTGTATAAATTGAAGAAATCACTTTATGGCCTAAAACAATCTCTAAGAGTATGGTTTGACAGATTCACAAGAGCTGTAAAATATAAAGGATATGAACAATGTCAATCCGATCATACATTGTTCGTCAAACATTGTATATCAGGTAAAAAGGCTATTTTGATTGTATATGTTGATGATATCATTCTTACGGGGGATCACTTTGAGGAGATTCAGAAACTTAAAGAATTCTTGTCTAAAGAATTTGAAATAAAAGATCTTGGAGCACTAAAGTACTTCCTCGATATGGAAGTAGCTAGATCAAAAAAAGAGATTTCAGTTTCTCAACGAAAGTACATTCTGAATCTCCTAAAGGAGACTGGGATGCTAGGAAGCAAGCCTGCTGACACCCCTATGAACTCAGTCACCAAAGTTAGATCCAGAATCAGTAATAAAATGGTTGACAAAGGGAGATACCAAAGACTTGTTGGAAAACTTATTTACTTGGCTCACACAAGACCAGACATCAGTTTTGCAGTAAGTATAGTAAGTCAGTTCATGCATCAGCCAACAGAAGATCACATGAGTGCTGTGTATTGGATTATGAGGTATCTCAAGAAAACTCCAGGACAAGATTTATTCTTTCAAAAAACAGACAGAAGGGGTGTTGAAATTTATACGGATGCGGATTGGGCAGGTTTTACAAACGACAGGAGATCTACATCAGGATGTTGTACCTATGTTTGGAGTAATCTGGTTACCTGGAGAAGTAAGAAATAGTCTGTTGTGTCTCGCAGCAGTACAGAATCTGAATTTAGAGCACTCACTCATGGTATTTGTGAAGGTGTATGGTTGAAGAGAATACTTGAAAAATTAAAAGTTCTCAACAATATGCCTATGAAAGTATGGTGCGACAACCAATCAACAATTAGTATGGCAAAAAATCCAGTACATCACGATAAAACTAAACATGTGGAGATTGATGGTCATTTCATTAGAAAAAAATTGGAAGATGGGACTATAACTCTAATGCATATTTCAACCAATCAACAGATCGCAGATATTCTAACTAAAACTCTTCCTAAGAGAACCTTTGATGACATAATATCCAATATAGGTTTACTCAACATATACGTAAACTAGATTGAGGGAAAGTGTAGAAAATATAATAATTAGAAGAATAAATTAGGATTAAAAATAGTTATTTACAACTGTTATGTGCTGTAAATAGAGGAACCATTTACAGCTGTTATGTGCTGTAAATGGAGGGAATCACCAACAAATTTGTCCTTAGAAACAGAATTTTATTAGGTTTCTCTCCAGAATTTGTTAGGTTGTTAGGGTAGTAGACTTATATATATGTGTGTGGAAATCATTCATCAAAAAAGAAGAATATTTTCTCTCAATTTTCTTCACATTTCATATACATCCTTGAGACATCAGGCCACCATCAATTAAGGAATGGTAACAATAACATTAAAACTGTGATATTCAGACCTTCGTAATCATTTTTGTTTCACCCAAGTTAAAGATCTTGTTGCAGACAGTGGTCTGTTAACTGAAGCGCCCGAGATTTGTAATGGCCTCCCGTCAAACTGAGTTTATAAACACACACACAGAGACCGGGTAATGACTTCTAAGAGCTATTTAGGAGCTTCTTTTAGATTAAGTTTTGCAAGCTTAATTTCTTGAAGTTAAAACATCTCTGAAATTTTGTTGAAGCTAGACTTAAAAGTTCTGGTCAAATTCTAGTTGAAGTCTTATAATGTCGAAGTTACTTATAGGAGCACCAAATATAATGGACAATCATGATTTGTACAAAACATGTTATAATTCTGCAAAAGCGAAATAACAACAACTATTGTCATTATCTCTTTTTTAATTATTATCAGCTGCTTTTGAGTTGTGTGGCAGCTTAAAAGAGTTAGTTTGCTTGCTCTTTCTGACATGTGAGCTCTTTATGTTATTTGCTCATGAAATTAGCAATCATTTATATTTTGCAGTCTCTCCGGAAACAAAGGTTTGTGTGGTGTACCTTCTTTGCCGTCGTGCCCTGTTTTTTGGGAAAATGGCCATTTATCTACTGGCGGTAAAGTTGCAATAGCCCTGTCATGTGTTGTGGTTCTCCTTCTGGTACTGTTATTGGTATATTTCTGCTGTATCAGGCGGAGTAAAAATGACTATGACTTTGGTCTTCCTCAAGACTTGATGTGTAAGTATAATTCTAAAGAAAGTCATGGCTTGTTCTCTAATTCATTTTTTCATCAGTCTGAAAATATCTTTTACAGTACCAGTCTATCCTGCTTGTCACCTGTTATAGCATCTATTATAGGACATAATTACATGCTACTTATAAAATTCAAAATCTGAACACTGGAATCAAGGTTGATATGTTAATTCGTAAGCCAATATGTTAATAGATGGTAAGCATGAAACTGAGATTAATATAATAACAGCAGTTCTTTCTAAAACTGGTGGTGATTGATGTTATAAATTCCACAATTTATTTTCTTGCTTTTCAGAAAAAAAAAAAAAAGTCATGGAGGTTTCAGTGCTGAGTTTAGTGAACAATGTACTTAAAAGTTTCTTGTGATTTAGCTGCTATGCAGATATTTTGTTATCATCTATTTCTCTGCCGAACCTTAAATTTAATTCCATTCAATTTCTTGTCAGTAGTCTCTGCAAAGAGAAACAAGTATCAGAGGCAGAAGTCACTGATGCTTCTTGAAATGGAGAGCCAACATGCCAAAGGATTGCCAACGCTTCCACTCAATTCACGTTAACAGTATGTTGAAAAGGATAGGCGATTTTGATTGTTTGTACTTACAGATATTGCATACAGAGTTCATGAACTTATAGGAGACACAGAAAATGCAGTTGGGGGCATTGCTGCTTCAAGAGGATAAGTTCAGTTGGTTTTGGTTTTTCTTCAGACAACTTGAATGCAAATGGGCCCTTAAAAAGTCGATCTCTAGAAAATGCAATGCATCTCATTTTTTCCTCACTGACACACAAAGAGGCATTGATGCCAACATTGTATCATACCCACTTTTGGCATTTGGTGAATAGCTCTTGTTGATTGAAATCTCAATTGTGTAAATGGCACCACTCTCTATACCAAATGGTCGACAAGTTTGTTATAATTGGTTCATTATTGTACCTGTGGATATATCTTTTCGTGATATTTTTACTCTGGAGTAGCATTATACCTATTTGTCCAATAATAGATAATAACTGAGTAAATAAAGCAGCTTTGGATGGAAGTATCAAGGGTATTACTATCTTGGTCCCATTAGTTTTGTGTAGTTATCTCTTTGCAGACCCACTTAAGAGGATATCGTCTTCAATGCTTCTGCTAGAGATGTTCACCCTAAATATTATTGATCAGTTTTGTTCAATTCTTAGCGCTTAATAACTATAGCTCCTTGTATATTTTGTATTTGTTGTATGATTGAATGTGGTAAAGCAATAATAATTTAATTGAATGAAATTAACAATTACATATTTTTCCGTGTATTTAATTCATCTTAAATGCCTGATTTTATATAATTAGGAAATATTTAGTTACTTGGCTCTCTGGATCCAGTTAACAATTAACATCAGCTACGAGAAACTTCTTGCGTGCCCATAAATGGGACCCCCAGTGGCATGATCTAAAGCTCTTTGTACAGCACTTATGCCTGTAAGAACCTTATCTGAAATTATGAGCTGTGGGCGCATAAATATGGTGCTACCTAAAGTGATTTGGTTTTTATACCAAGTCACTCAAAGGTTACTGCAATATGTTTTTGATGTATCTAATCATATAAACTATTATTAATTCAAACATATGGGTGAACATGATACGAATGAATTATCGTAACTAACTAGGAATCGAATTTTTATCGATAAGGATAGATGTAGATAACTATGCATTATCATGTGGAAACAACTTCACAAACCCCCTCTCACCCTGAAAAGAAACAAAAAACATTAATTTAGAGAAGAACTTTACAAAATTCCAAAGTTAAGTGGGTTCCAAGTTGGGCCTGCTCCATTTAAAGAAGAAACTTGCCGACCGACCATCCGCCTTGCTCCTACAGAAACGAGGATGCGTACGGGCTCCCATGCACGTGCATTTTTCTTTGTCTTTTGTGGGTAATGCAGGGTAGATCCCCTCAAGTTTTTACTTCAGAAATTTTCACTTCTACTTCACGAGGAGAAATAAGCCTTGCTCCTAGGCGGCAACATAAATAAATGAGTGACTCTAAATTTCATTTAAATAGACTAATAAGAAGTAACTATAAAGTCTAAAACATTGTAAAACGGTCAATGTGTTTGAATAAACGTAAAACTCAGTTTAATCAACTAATATATTTTAAATTCATTGTTAAAACACAATATAATAAAAAGGCATGCAACGACCTCTTCTAAAAAAAATGAATAATACACAAATCTTGTAAACTAAAATTGAGAAGAGAGTTTGAAATTGCCGTTAGAAAAAGTCAGATCAGAATTTTTTAAAACTGAAATTTGGTATTATAATTCTTAATTTGAGGAATTTGAAAAACCCATATCTAAACTTTGCCAACCATCTAAATAATTAAAATTTTACAGGTCCACACACTAAGACAATTTTGTCAGTTCTCTAATAGATACCAAAATTGGTTGATCAAATAAGTTCTTTCAACTATTTTTATCGACTTTCTGAACTCCAAAAAGGATAGAAAAATTCTGGGTCTGACTTTTCAGGTCGTCGAGTCTAGTAAACTTGCAATTAAAAGCACTCGAAAAGAAAGAAAGTTTAGTTTAGTGAGTTAGATAGAAGAGTCATCTCATTATTAAACAACCCAACAGAGACAATCCACTGACCAACTAAACAGGAGTGATTGCAAATTAATCACAGCACCATCAATGGACGAACAACCCATACATATATATTCATCCGAATTATATATATCGTGTTTGACAACCATTCAAAGTCAACTGCTTTTATTTATTTCCATTCTGTCACAAAAGACTGCCGTATTGAAAAATGACAATCAATATTAATACATAAAGCAATAGGTATTGCAATTTGCCCATACTATATTATTACAGATAATGCATTTCTTCTTCTTTTTTTTTTTTTTTAATTTCTAGTGGGAGAAAAGTCCAAAGTTCAAGAGATCGTAATTGGAATCTCTAATGCTTTCACATCTGATTTACCAAGATTGTCAAAACCCTCAACTTAAGATAACGGAAAAAAAATCTTCAATTTCCCTAAAAACTAGCTTGTGTGTCTGTGTATATATGTATATACAAAGAATTTAAAATGACAATGTAAATGATAAAAAAGAAAGAAGACTTGGGAAGATTTGCAAAATGGACTGAGGAGATGATGAATTATTCAAAATAGGAAGGACCCACGATAAGTGTTGGTATGTGAATGTGACTTGTCGCCTTCAATCGTGGTCCTGGTTTATTGGCTCGTTATGTTAATGCTTTGTTGATTAATCTCATTATCATCAAATCTCCCAAAAATCTCTTTAAAAATAAGTCCATATACCTCATGCATTTCAGTATTAATACATATATATGTGCAAATAAAAGACTAAACCTTTAACTTGTTTTTTTTTCTTATGCATGTTCAGTCAATTACAAGAATGGTTGATTCAGAAGCTAGCTAGCTTTAAGTTCCTCAGAACCTTCTGCAATTCTTGACTTTCATTTCCATCTCTTATTAAATTAAAAGAAATTTAGTTAATTTCATACATCTCAATTATTGGAATAATATATATATATATATATATATATGTGATCATTTGCATTTTTTTTTCTTTTAAGTGCATTGTAATAAATATTGACATTATTATAAGTAAGAATTAATTCTTACTTATAATTCAAATAATTGCGGATTACACCTACTGTTGATTGGTTATTTACATTATTATAGTAATATATATTGATATTATTTTATGTAAAAATAAAAATTACCATCTTTTATCGTAAATTAAAACTCAGTTAACGGTGGACAAAAACCTCGTTAGTTGATCAATTGCATTATCAAATTAATTAATCTAATCTTATTTTTCTATTGCTACCACTTAAACATTAATATATATATATATATATGTGTGTGTGTGATATACTAATATTTTGGTAAAAAGAAGAACCGATAATTAATGTTAGGAATAGGGGGGATGGTTCATGAGTCTTAAATCTTAACCAATAATAAAAAAAAAAACCAATTAAATAGGTCTGGATCTATAGGTATATGAAATTAATGTGTATGGTTAATACTTGAATAGTCACTGGCTGAAGTCACAATACTACCTTGAATTGAGTTTTGACTTCTCTATACACACCTATTAACTATACGTACCCTCTAGTTGACCGTACTTCAATGCCAAAAAAAAAATTTCACACTTTTGACTTTTTTGGATTCCAATAGTTTCTCTCTTGGCCCTTTGAATATTAAATATTTCCCATTTCAACCACATCTGTCTATTAATTTTCCAACTGACAATTGGATATTTATATATATATATATATATAGATATATTGTAACCCATATCCCACATCTGGTTAGTGGGTGTAATTAATTAATTAATTAATTATGCACTGAGGCGTGAATGCAATTATTTAAAGCAAAAATGAATTAATTAGCAAATTAATTAGAGAGATTAAGCAAAGGCACGTAGCACTCGTGAATACCACCAGGTTATAGGGAGATGATAAGAAAGAGATGAAGTTGAAAAGGATGTTTGGTTATGAGGCTAATGGTGAATTGGGGATTTGGTTAGTCGTGTCACCCAACGGAAGAACAAGGCAGAGATGTTGTTTGGTAGCACATGTTATGTCCATTAATGAAATTCATGCTTTCATCCAAGTACATTGACCCTTTTAGTTTTCTTTTTTAAAACAAATCTTAGAACGAGTCTCAGCAGGTTGGTTTCAATCATTCAGTGAACAGCGAACAAAACTTGTGGCGTTTTACTCTTAAACCATTTTTTTTTTTTTTCTTTTATTTATATATATGAAATTTAATTATTTACTCTCTTGTTATGTCATGAAGTAATTAAAAAGAAGAAGAAAAAAAAATATTATTAATTGGGCCTACTAAAGCACCTGGGTTTATAACTGGGCCCAACAATGATGGTATGACCCGCCAGTCACCGTCACCGCCACAGCCACAATTAATTAAAAACCAACAATATCCGTGTAACTTGTTGACTTAATCTTTAATCACCCATGGTTGTTTAAGCTAATTAATTAAATTGATTAATCCCCAAAAAGAGTGATTTATTAATTAATCCCCCACCCAGAACGTGGAAATTCATTGTAAGCAAATTGCTGACTCGGTTGACCTCCAAGTAAGCAGATCAGATGAAGTCATCCTTGAGTGCCAAATATGGAAGTTGCTGCGTTCAGTCGTATATAATTTGAGTCTACCCACCACTACTAATTATTTGTTAAAAGAAGGATCAAGTGGGCAGCTTATCTGCAACAGAAGGAAACAAGAAGAGAATTTGATTGGGTGATGGAAGCCAACAAAAACTCTGCAACTTTAACTTGGCCAATTTGACATTTGTGCGTGCGTGCCAGCCATGTCGGCAACATATAATTGTTTTAACTTAATTAATTTTAATTAAAATTAATAACATCCAATTACGTTGTTTTTTTTTTAATGGGAGAAAATTCGAAGGGTGGTGGGACCCCATTTTTAGCAGTCAGAATACTGGACTTTCTGCGTAACGTTGTGCATGTCCATCCACAACGTTAATTTGTCTCCAACTTACAAGTCTAGTAAAACAATTCAAATTTTTGTGTAGTAATTGCTTTGAAATATTAACCTGAGTGGTGAATTGTTTAGAACAGTATTTTTTAAATTAAAATTTAAAAGTTAAAAAAAAAAAAAAAAGGAAGGAAGGGTGGGTGGGGTGGGTCCAAAATTCTGCATATAAAAGTCTAGAAAGGACCAATAATTAGATGTATACTTTGATTTTATGTTTGTAAAATGATTTGTATTTTAGTCGTTGGTTGGGGAGGGGGAGGGAGTTGATTTCAGTGTGAGTCTGACCGGCCAATGGGATGAATTATGTGGCATACAGGGTGTGGTGGGACCCATAACTATATAATCAATGGCGGTGATGATCTGGTCAACAAAAGCAACTCATTTTTCTGGTTTGGTTGATTCCCTTTCAAGTTTTTCACATTTCTTTTTTTTTTTTTAAATAATTACAGATGTACTGCTTCTTTAGTTTTTCCTTCAAATAGAATCTTCTTCGTCTTCTCCCTTCTCTCC